CAGGTACAGTCTACAGAAAAACCAGTTTATGATAATTTATTTATCCATTTAGGACCGTTCCACATCATGTTAGCATTGTTTAGAGCAATTGGAAAATTTATTGACGACAGTGGAATAATGAATGTAGCTGTTGAAAGTGAAATTATCGCAAATGGTTCAGTAGATGGATTTTTGAAAGGAAAACATTTTAATCGATGTAAGCGGCTGCATCCATTAATGGCACTAGGACTTGAAATATTATGTTTTCAATCTTTCATAGAAAAAGAAGATATAAGTATTGATGAAGATGTTTACAATAATCTCTCTACATTTATCGATGGTAATGAACCGTTTGTGCCCGTCGTAGAAAATGAAGCAATATCAACATTGATGACTCGATACCAATATCACAAAGAACAATGTAGAAAAGGAACTTTTGGTAAAACGCCTCAATTTTATGTTATTTATATGGATCTTGTTCATCACTATCAGTTACTGAGTCGAAGCATAAGGACTGGAAACTTTTCTTTGTACAAATATATTTTGTCAAAAATAGCAAATATATTTTTTATGACAAATCAGCCTAATTATTCACGATGGCTGATAAAATACCATGATAATTTGTTAAAAGTTGGTCTTACACATCCATCAATTGAAAAATTTATGAAAGATGGATACCTTGGAATCAAACGTACTGATAAATCTTTCTCTAGACAGCCAACAGATCTAGTACTTGAACAAACTATTAATGCCGACGCGGGAAAAAGATTAACTGGTGTAATCCAGTTCACTCATTCTATTTCCGCTCGTCAGCGATGGGCTAGAAGTCACGACATAAGAACAACTGTCATATCTCACACTCTGGACATTACTGGTTTACGAAGAAAAAATGATGTATCAGCAGACCTGGAAGAACATGCTATAAAAAGAGATTCAGCACAGTTGTGGAAGTTCATAAATACTTTTGAGAAATTTCTAAATCCATTTATATTGAATCTAAACAAAGATTGTCTGTATAACATCGGTAATGGTACAGTTGCTTCGATCGCAGTACAGGATTACTTATTGAATTTTATAGAATCAGGAGAAAGATTGAAAGAGAATTTTATAACTGAATGTTCACAGAATGGAAAAAGATTTGAAGAAAGAATTGCACAAGTGAAAATTATGAATTTTGCCTTTGAAAAAAAAAGAAAAAAATCAAAGTCGGTGATAAGGTTCATGAAATCCGTGTGCAACGTGATTTCTTTGGTCGCCTGTTAGCTCTGTCAATACAACATAACATCGATTTGGAGAAGACGTTATCATACCCCATTACAACTGTTCCATTGTCATTGTGTCATGAAGATGGTACAATACATAAAACTCAGAAATCAGCAATGGTTGAAATTTTAAAGGCAAACGTCAACAGTGAAGAGGTACCAAGACGTTTTGATGTTGTCATTTTTGATGGATTTTTTTACTGCATACATTCAAAAACATCCCTAAAACATTTGGTGGTATTTCCAAAAAAATTATGTCGCTACTAACAGCTACACATGCCTCACGAGTAGATATCATTTTCGACCAATACTTTTCGCCGTCAATTAAAGATTATGAACGAGCCAAACGACAAGAAGTACGAAACATAAATTATTTCATTACCGGACCAGAACAAATTCGACCAGTCGATTTTATGAAAGAACTTCGTAACATAAAATTTAAAGAAGCTTTCGTAGATTTTTTAATTTCACATTGGAGCACAAATGAAATGATAGAGTTTATCGGGAATACCATAGTAAACTTAAATTACAAACAATGCCATACTTATAGTGTCCAAAATAACTCTGTGATTGTCGATATAAATGATGATTTATCGTGCCAACATCATGAAGAGGCTGATACAAAAATAATATACCATACATGCCAAATGGATGAAGATGTATCCGACGTATTAATAAAAACATGTGACACAGACATTTTAATATTACTGCTCGGAAACATGGACCATCTCCACAATAATAATTTAAAAATCTATATGGAATATGGCACTAATCATTGTAAAAAATGGATAAATATTTCTGAACTATATACAAAATTGGGACCTTCTATATGCCAAAGCTTACCGGCATTTCATGCATTAACCGGTTGCGATTTCAATCCGTCCTTTTCAAGAAGAGGTAAAAAAAACCATTCCAAATATTGCAGAAATCGAGTGTATATCAGAAGGCATTCAAAGAATTAGGAAACGCAGAAATAGTACAGAAGAAAGAAAAAATTTTCCCGATACTAGAGAAATTTGTATGCCAAATGTATGGTTTGAAATGTTCAAAGTTAAATAATGCACGTTATGAAAAGTTCCTTGCTACGTACAACACAAATAATCCTAAAGTGTTTATGAAAAAAGTAGTAAGCTATGATTCATCGAATTTACCACCCTGCAAACGTGAACTACATCAACAATTATTGAGAACTGCCTACATTACAAATATATGGCGAAATTGTAATTTAAAAGAACCAACAATTCTTACACCTGAAAATAACGGTTGGAACTTAATTGATAGTCGTTACGAATTTAATTGGTTTGAGGGGAATACGGTTCCATCTTCTATATACGACATACTTTTACAAGGACCTGCTGATACTGCCACAGCACAATCGACTGAAACTGAGGAATGCATTTCAGGTAACATACAACTATTTTATTCCGTAACATTTAATACGCAGTCCTATGTAATTGAGCTTGATATTTAATTCTTAACAACCTTATTGATTCATTAAAATATTTTTTTTTACTATTTTCAGATGAGGAAAACATTGTTGAAGAATCAGATGATGATGAAAACAGTGATAGCGAAATTTCGGATGATGCTGAAGAAAATGAATGTTAAAAATAATGTAGATTGCATAAAACCCAATAAAATACATTGCATTTACTGTATGCGTTCATGTAACATTTCTTATTTGCACGCCGCTGCAGCAGCTGTCCCCTCGCCTGTCAAGGTCTTATGCTGTTCAAAACCGCCTGGCATTGTACATATTTACTCTGAGACGTTTACTTGAAAACATATAAAAATTTTAAGTATACAGGATAAAGTTTATTTTAACTCATCAACTGTACGTTTTCTAATTGATCTGTCATATACTTCTGCTTATTGTAATCGCCTGTCAATTTTTTTTTAAGATGTACAATAAATAAACTTTATCCTATAAAATTTTCAAATTTACAGAAACAAGTTTTGAAACTCAATTTACTTAACAGTCCAAAAAATAAAGGGGCTGATGACGTGCAGGGCTGACGCCTGCCAGGTCATGGCTATTGCTCTTAGCATGTCATAAATCGTAAGTATACAAATTTCTAACCTTACAGGGAGACCGTTACTCCCAGGGTTCACTAGCTCTCCAGCTAAATAGCAAGTATGCACGAAATCAGACCATAAATTTTGAAAAAAAAAAAAACAATTTATGTATAATCTACTCTTTGTAGAACGACTATATCTGAACATTCAAATCCTGGGCGATTTCTGAGTTTTACACAATCTAGCGAAAAAGTAACCGATATGTTGACGCAAAACATTTGTCATCAACGTTTGGATGAGTGGAAACCTGATATTGTGTAACACAATAAATATGCCCTTGTGCCAATAACAATATGACCACGAATGCGTAATCCGATGCTGACTTTTATTTATCGAAGGATACGTGTATCCTGCTTAACAAAGCTTTAGTCCTTATAAGAGACTAGTTATTATCTGACTTCAACGCGTAGTTAGTACGTATAGATTTAAAAAAATCATCAAATCATTTAAAAAAAAAACGACCTCGAAGGAATCGTTTTATATTTTTTTGTTTTAAACCGATTTTCAATGCATCCTCTTGCTTTCTCTGGGATGCTATCATCAGATTTCCTTAAAAAAATATATACGGTCGAATTGAGAAACCTACTACATTTTGAAGTCGGTAAAAAGACGATAAGAGGTATCTTTGTTTATATTAAGCAGACATAATACTTTTACTGTCCATATAAATATTTTGCCTTTAGATAAAAATTACTTTAACTAAAGGCAATTTTTAAATCAGCTTAGTTTAAAAGATAGGTGTAGGCAGGAAGCGACTTTTATACTACATATTTATTGGCATCAAGTAAAAATCTAAAAATAAGATTGGGGTGGTTAGGGAATCTAAAAATAAATTAAGAAAAGGGTTGAAACCTTTGACTTAGGTATATTACAACTTAGGAAACAGTCTAAGTGTATCAAAAACAGTTCAGTAGTTTTTGAGATGTAAGGGAATTTGACATTTCTAGACCAGACATTTATATACACATTTTTTTTTCACTTTTGTTGAATTACTTTTATATAATTTTTTTATAATATAAATATTATAAATTACTTTCAATATCAATTGAACGCCAGTTTCATACTCAATCCGTGCAAGAAAACAAATGATTCTTCTAAGATATTGTAAGTATTAAAAGCAGTAATACCAGGTATGCAAACATTCTTTTGATAACTCACGATTGCCTTGGCTTTACAATGAATGGGTCGTTTCATTTCGGAAAGTGACCTACATCTTGAAGAATAAGCAAAAATAAGGTTCAAAGTGGGGCTTTGAATATAAGCAAAGGCCGTGGTTTTAATCTTGTAACGGGTAGGTTTACGAATTCATTTTATCATTACTAAATATGGCATCTTCCCAACTGGCGGGCTTATCGCCTTCGAGCGATCTCTTCCAGGCAACCAATGCGAGAAAAAATAAAATGGGTACGCTCTTTTCTTGAAGGACCCTAAGTCGAATTGGTTCGAATTACTTCAGTGGGCAGCTAGTTTCACATAGTGGTGGTGCGCGGCAAAGACTGCTTTAAAAACGCTCAGTTGTGGAACGACGGACGTTGAGGTGATACGGGTGGAATTTCGTATTCTCCCTTGACGTCCGATTATGAAACTCAGCCGGACGTATTGAACCGAACAACTCCTCTGAACACTCCATAGTAAATGCAGTAGAAGGTGTAGAGATTAGTACCGAGTAAATGTAATAAATACTTACGGATTCTCCAACATCCTCAAGCAGACTTTGGCCATTGTGCTTAATGTTTCCGTGGTATTTTCCAAGTCCTGCTGATTATCATTCACAAACTGGCTGGTCGCTTCTGACAGAACCTTTAGCATTGGCGTCGCTTGCGCATAGAATAACGACATTCTGTTAGCGACTTCTGCGCCTATGTGGGGTTCTTCCCCTGGCGGAAGGTCTGCGTTGATGAGACCACCTCGGGATACAATACGCCGGTAGTAGCTGAAGTCGTTTTGGATGGCTGGTGTCTTCATCTGAAACGTGCAAATTTAGAATTTTATATACTTTGGTAGATAAATAAATTGCGACTGTCAAAATGGTCCAATGATAAAAAATGAGGATTTTTAGCAAATCGCTTATATTTATTGATATCGTTTTTTTGTTTTAGTCATTATGTAAATCCCTTCTTTTATGTGTTATAAAATTAACTACCAATATTTAATGAACACAAGTACTTGGATATTTTACTATAACATATTAACATTGAAAATAATAGTTGATTTTTGCTTAGACTATTAACATTGAATCTAAAATGGATTTCACTCATCAATAGTTAATAAACAGATATGGAGGTTATTAAAAACCTAACTGTAACAAATATTGCGCACACGCAGTTTATATCCTTCATTACTCTGTTATAATGTATATATCACTGAACACGGTATGTAATGGTGTATGTAAAATAAAAGGTATTATAATTTAGTGGTACCCGTATACAAAATCATTACTTAAGAGTTCATAGTTATTGATAAGACTTTATTAAGCTTAGAAACATCGTTTTTTAAAAGTTAATCTTTCAGCAGCAGAGCAGTATTGGCCTAGTGAAAACTTGCGTGCCTCACCTGAGGTAATAGGTTTGAATCACGACTGCGATAAATGAACCAAAGAGGATTTCTTTCTATGTGCGCATTAACCACTCGTCGTACGGTAGAGAAAAAAACCAATGAGCAACCCGTCATACTTTAAATCCAAAAAGTCTAGTTGCCTATTTTAGAAAGATCAAGAAACAGATACCAAAATCTGAAGAACTTACCATTGGTATTTTTAATAAGCTCTTAGAACTGGCCAGAAACATTGGGAATAAAAACTTCTTTGAATTTCGATTATAAAACTCTTTGGTTACCTAATATGAAATTGCATTTGTCATTTGTTTTTGTGAAATGGCGGCAATTCCACGTCAACTTTATCAACCTCAAATTTAATTTAACCACATAGTTCATTCAGTACTCATAATTTAAAGTAGCCCAGTAGCATTCATTTTATTATCAAATGACTCCTACGAAAATTACAAAGTGATGCAATAATTGCTATGAAAGCCAAGATATACACACCCTCGCAGACATACGACAATATAGCAAAGCATGACTCATTTATTCGGGTTCAGATCTGGGTTAGTTTTCTTATTGAGTCTCTTATAGATGACTAATGAATGATATTTCGCAATGCTGTTTATATCGCAAATGGAATATTGTTCATACACAAATAGCATTTGACTTTTTAGTATTAGGATTAGCATTTAATTTAATTTTAAAAGCCTCTAATGGCGTCTTAAACCTTCTTTTTTTATCCGAGGTGGAAATGCATTTGCGCATGCCCTCAAAAGTTGCAGGGGTATGTGGGACTCGACCCACGCTAAAATCTCTGCTATTCAGAGACTGGGTAAGAAATACCCACTAACACCACCTCGAGTAGTTCCTACCAAGCCGCGTTACAGAGGCTCCGGGTTCGCTGTCGCACTCTACCGAGACCAAAAATGTGGAACGTATCACGATTTTGCGTGACATCCTTACGCAGGGGCCATGCTAATCTTCTCTGTACCGTTCCAATTTTAGTTTACGTACTGGCGAAGCGAGTACAATGGCGCTTTAACCCATCGAAATATCGCTATTCCGTTATCCAACCCCTTATGTGTCATTGATAATTTTTGCATATTAATTTAATTATGTTAATAAATCAGTGGCGCTACAACCTTTTTAGGTCCGGGCCTCTGATTTCTGTATGTGTTTTATGATCATTTGTCAATCTAATAGGCAAGTAGGTGATCAGCCTCCTGTGCCTGACACACACCTAGGTTTAAGGCAAGCCGGTTTCCTCACGATGTTTTCCTTCACCGTTCGAGCGAATGTTTAATGCGTACATAGAACGTACGACCTCAGGGATGAGAGTCGCACGCTGAAGCCACTAGGCCAACACTTCTTTTTTTTATTTAATTATGTTATCATTCTTAATTCTTTTTGTTCCTTCACTGTTAAAAGGAACGGTTCTATAATATTTTTATTTAAATAACACATGTTATCAAACAAACAAAGGCGTCGCGCTTACTGAAAGCTGTCCTCGACGCTATCGACATCTTAATATGTTCGCAGAGTGAGTGCACAGTTGCGATATTGTGTATCTTTTGTATTTAATATTATATATTTTATTATAATTCATGTTTTTTCGACATAAGCGTATTGGTTTAGTACTGAAAGGATAGTGTATAAATAAATAAATGTTTAATTATCAGGATACAATGATTAAAATGAAATTAAAAACTATAAAACCGAACTTACCAAAAAAAGGTAAAACAAGTAAAATGGAGGAATATCTACTATAATATATTAATAAACATATTATGTTTTTTTATACTTAATTTATATAATAAATTGCCTCATTCAGGCAGATAATTTCCGAACCAATTCGACTTAAGAGTCCTTAAAAAAAAACACATTCTTAAAAGGCCGGCAACGCACTTGGAAGCCCTTGGGCAACGTGAGTATCTATGGTCGTATTATTTAACATCAGATAGGAGGCTCTCCTGCCCGTTTACATAAAAAAATAGGTGAAATGTCGTATTGAAGTTTATTAAGCCTTATAAATATTGCGTATCTTCCAAGTGGCAATGGGTGATTTATTTAAACAATTGAGGGTCCTTTTGACCCCAACCTTGTGCCATTCGCGATAGCCATTATGCACTTTACGATCAATAATTTAACATAAATTGCTCTTTATTTAAACGACTTCCTCCTGATATGAAAATTAATATTATGTTCATATAAGGTTCGGATTTCGTAAACTATGTTCGCTATTTATTAGAATTTTTAAAATCTATTTAATAGAAATCTTTGTAGTTTTATCTCATCTGATGTTAAGTGACAATGCACTCAAGCTACAGAGCTTGCGAGAGCGTTGCTGGCCCTTTGTGAATTTCTATATTCATAGAATAACGTATACCTAGTACGCAGTAGGTACCTCCTACCTAAAATAAATGTTGATAAGATCTTTTCCCGACATTTTTTTTTTATTTTTCTCTTTTGTGTAACAGGAGGCAAACGGGTAGGTCGAAAATAATTATTCTTTAATATATATATTTTATAAGTAAGTGATACCATCGTGACTAAACCGGCATTCCGTAGACTCAAGAAGTCGTATACGTAAAGTATTTATACGATACGTTATAGCTTAATGCTAAATTGCGATTTAAAAAAAAATTTAATGGAAAAGTATTAAGTTTGTTATGGAAGAGCTGGAAACCTTCACACAGGTATGTTTTGAAGTGAAACTTCTAATGCGACCTCCAAGTTCCAACAAGGTTGCGTTAAACGTTTAACGCTCCTGGGGAGGGGGAATAGAAAGAGACAGAGCTAGAGTGAAAGCTTCCTATTTTAATTTCCACATTACAAAGTTTCACTTCTTCGGCGCGGAGGGACTCCACGCACTATTTTTTACTTATAAGGATTCCCAAATCTTATACATTGTAATGCATTCTTAAAATACTTTTTAGTATGGCAAATGAGCCTTCGGGACAGATAGTGGTTGGGCCTTTGGGGGAGGAAACTACAGGACTTGAAATGTTAAACATAGGAATATTTTACCCCTTGCTCATAACGGATATACTATGACTGTTCACGAGCATTCGATTGTAAGTTAATAATCGTGTGAGTGGAAATATTCAATAAACAACGATTATGGGAAGCGTTAGGCGAGCTCTACAATAGGTGGATATTATAGCTGTGTGCGTTACACCCACATTAATTCGATCGTGGGTATTAAAAAAAACAAATGCCGCTACAAGTCTAGGCTTTTTGGGCACACACGGGCTTCTTGCTCATCCTCTGTGGTAGCAATGTGTTCTATAGACACCACGGATGTTATGGAGCTCCGTAACCGTATCACAAGTTTCGAATAGTTTCGTATAAGGGCGAATCTAAATAAAACTACATGTTCCGACAGGTTTTTGTTGATGGTTTCATTACTCACAAAAATAATTAAAATAAAACATTTTATATGTTATAATTTAATATGTGCAATGTATAAAGCTTATTTACAACTGTTTAATTTATTGCATTTTTATTTTAATAGATAAAACTTAAATTTGATGAGGTATATAATAATTATTTAACTATATGACCGATTATAATACCAACTGATAACCTAGACAAGATAAAACCTATAAATAAAACCAAATTATTACTATTTGAGTTTATATTTTACTTCAATCTAAACCGTAACCGAAACTAACGGCTAATCCGAAATAATTACATATTCGTCACCGTATCCGAAACCAATATAATTTTTATGTATCCTATCCATAACATCTCTAGGCTAGCCGCACACACAAAATAATATTGTCAATGCAAGATTGTCAATATTCTTCATCAATATATGGTCCCCGCACACTACACAATATTATTGGCAATTTTTCATGGTACAATCTGAGTCAGTCACTCCGCAGCTAGATTATGTGCGCACGTTTAACATAATGGAGAGAAAGACAAAAATCGTTGCATTGAGTATTGCATTAATTTTACTATCTAAAAAAAAGCAATCAAGAAAGAAACGGTGGATTAAAGACTGGATGAGAAGAAAAGCTGAGTTAAATCACTTTAATCTAATAAATGAACTACGAGTTGCAGAAGAAAATGATTTTAAAAATTACATGAGAATGAGAGATAGTTTCCAAAAACTATTATCTTTAGTTTGATGATATCGATTTGTGAATCTTCTTTATTTCTTTCCGAAAATTTGTTCGTAGGGAATTAATTTTTTTCTTTACGTCTTCTCTCGTGCTATTTGGTTTGATTTTATTATAAATATCAAGCAACTTATCGAGCGCATTATTTTTCTTAACTGTATCACGATATGATTTACCGGATGTATTCCATAATTCTGGATAAGTTTCCCACATTATCGACATTATCATATTGGCATAGTCTGTAAGGTTAATGTATGTATTTCTGTAACAAATAAATAAATAAATGTTTTAATAAACACT